AAATGACATCAGGTGGTGTTTTTTTTTTTTCTCTTCTTAAACATGTAAATCTGTTATCCCAGAGGTGCTGTCACTGTTGCTGATGGGCTCAGCCCCAGCCAATGGCAAGCCCATCTTGGATCCAGCTCGCATTGGCTCTATTGGACATGAACCTTCCATCAGCTTCTCACAAAAGCCACTCCTGTAGCCCTGCCATTGACAAAACCTTGCCATGCAAACCCAATGCAGTTGTGCTGTCATAATTGAGTTCTGTTTCCCGCCCCCCCCCCCGAAGACAGGGAATCTCTCTGTTACTTTGATTATCCTGGAAGACATTTCTGCATCTGATCCAGTTTGAATGTATCTTTTATTAGCATAGATGATTGGAAGGTGTAGACTGCATTTGTGCTGCAATGTCGAAAGTCCTTTATACAATGGCATTTGTACTTTTCTTGGCTGAAAATAGTTTTTCCTGATGCATCGTAGGATTTCAGTTGGCTTTTTCACAGATGTATCAAATGGGTGTCTTGGGTATTCTGTGAGGCCATCCTTTTCCTATATTGCTTCCGGTTGTCTATATTTCATAGCAGCCCTCAAGTGCATAACACTATTTTGTAGTATTAAAATTTAATCTTCAGTCTGCAAGGTCACACAGCTCTTTGTGTATGATATTCTGGTCCTAAGCCAGACTGGTGCTGGTTCCCAGGTTTTAACATCAGCAAACGTTTATTAGTATATATATATTTTGTTTCCAGTTCATCAATGAAAATATTAAGAAAAGACTCACCCTAAAATGGACCCTTGAAGGGCCTCCTTTAAGAATTGTCCCTCATTCAAGTAGTTCCACTTTCAGTACAGATCACTGTTCATTTTTGCCAGTTTCATACCTACCTGTTTCTTGTGCTCATTTCCTCCATCATGTCTAATATTCCATGCAGAGCAACTCAGTGGCTGAAAGTCATTGTGTTCCTTTGGAGGTGTATGCTTATCTTTTTAGTACTTTTGTGAAGTCCAGATGTAATCTTTTCCATTTACCTTGGTTTTACTTAAAATAACATAAGGTTTTTAATGGGAAAAAAACTGTCAACATCATCTTTCAGAGGAGACTGGGGAGGCAGCTAATAGGTCTTTTTGTGTGTATTTGTAAGAGTGAACGTAAGGGTACAGAGAACGATGCCAGCAGACTTCCCTGTTTGAATTGTTGGTATGTTACCTGAGTTCCAAGCTTTTAGCAGCCCTAGTCATGTGTCTGTGCAGCTGCCTTCATCACCATCAGATTCACATATCATCTATGCCTTGTTTTCTCAACATTATTATTTAGAAAAATCATTCTGTTTGCGTGGCTTTGAATTACTGAAAAGAGTCTATTTTCTCTCTTGGAATCTGTCCTCTTTCCAAATAATTATGTGGGATCACCTAGAGCCTTAAAATATTTTAATAGGGTGGCAGTGTGAGAAATGTTTTAATCTTACTCCACTTCTCATATCTGTGATACGCTGCCATAAATCCATGGTACTCAGACTCAGTGTGTACATGCATGAAGGTTTGTCAGTTTCCCTCCACATAATATGGACTGTCTACAAGTGAAGGTGGCAACTGTGAGTGGCCTGATATCAGGAGAATGTTCATAATTAGGTAGTAACATTGTTTTGTGATTTTGTCCTCATTTGACAGGACATCTCTGCTAGTATAAGCTGGTACTCTGACATCATGGTAGACAGCAATCCAGTGGTGTTTCTGTTCTTGCTGTATGCCACAGTCTTTCTCTTAACTTTCATATGACTTAAATTAATTACTCTGTTCCCATTCTGTATGGACCAATTTTTTCTTTAATCAGATGGTGCTTCCTAAGTCTGTCCTTCAAAAGATAAGTCATTTACATTTAACACAATGCTGTACTGGAAAGATCTTTTCTGTCTCATCTATATTCAGTAGCAAATTTCTACTTTTCAAATGGAGATTGAGAGAGGATCCTATGAACTACTGCAAACCTAGAAATGCTCCTGATAGCAGTAGGAGCTGGCACCATTCAGGAATTCACTTGGATTATAAAGGCTAAGATTACTGGGAAGCTTGTGTTTGTGAGAAATTTTACTGACCAGCTCTCAGAGCCAGGCAGACCACCAGCATGGATCCTATGAAAACCTTTTCTTCCATATCCTGAAATGGAGGCACTGTGATGTCCCTTCACTTTCAGCATTTTTCTCCTTCTGTCTTGTGTAATCAGTCTTATTCAAGAGCTTTCTTTTGCATTCTAACTATGCCAAGGGGACCCTCATCTTAGATGTGGTCTTCAAGGGCTAAGGCATATAATCTTCTCCAGCATCAAGATTTGAACTCAGAATTAGTGGGAAAAGGCAGAAGCTGAAATTAGGTTTGAAACAAAGTTAATTTCTTTTTGCAGGGAGTATAATTAGCCAATAGAGCAGCTTCTGGTAGGAGTAGCTGATCTATGGTCATTAAAATGTCAAAGACTTACTGTGTTTTTGTTCGCTTGCTTGTATTTAATACGAGCCATATGGCAATGAACAATACTTCATTTTGAGTATCCAAGAAGGGGAATTCTTATTAACAAAGGCTTTATAGTAGCATGTGTGAAAGAGGGCTTTCATTGTATTTGTAGGGTTAATTTATATGGGGTAATGGTTGGTCTCAGTTAATCCATCTGTCTAATATTTTAACAATATTTTAACGAAACCTTGAGCCAGAAGTCAGTGTAGCAAGAATTGCCTATTTTATCCATTGATTTTCAGTAAAATACTAAGGAATGAAAACCTGAAAACCTAATTCTAATAAAGGAGAATTACAGCGATCATCGATTTCAGCAGGGTCAAAATTTCATGGAACATTTATATGCTTAGCAACTGAAGAAGTGAAGTATAAATATGCAGATTTAAGATTAAATTTATGCATGTAACAGAAGCAGTTATTGCAAAACTGCAATTCTGTCATATATAGTAGTTCATAATGTTTTATAAGCATCAGGAAAAAAAAAACCACACCAAAGCAACCTTTGTGAAACATGAATGGCATGTCAGCTTTCTTCCTAGTTCATGATGATCACAAAGATGGTCCCAAATCTGTCACTGCTAAATGAACACTAAATTAATACTGGTCACTCTGGTTATTATTCCTAAGTGTGGTCATCGCTGTTCTTAGCCTTTTGATTTGAAGTGTCCAACAAACAATAAGCTGTGCTCATTACATGCAAATTTTAACTGTGTTTTCAATCTTCAGATCAGATGCTGCTGCTGAAGGAAAATGGACTTATCGGGGTACTCCTAGACCTTGACGATCCTGACCAGCCTTACCTTGGACCTCTGCCTACACCCTGCCATGGGCCCAGGAGCCTGCTTTCCTCATTCCAGTCCCCACCTGAGCGATGTTGGAAGACTTGCTGGTTTCTGGCTCAGCCACAGCCCTGCCCTGTCTAGCCATGGGCTGTGTTGGTTGAGACGCTAACCTGAAGACTGATTTTCTGTCTTGACCTCAGCCTTGACTTGTCACCGTGAATTTGCCTGGACTCTTGGTTGAGCCTGGTTGCCCGTTCTGGATCTGTCCTGCCCTGTTCACCTTGCCTGGGTACCATAGGGCTAGGCCCCGGCTGGCAAGATGCTTGCCTTACTGGCTGGGCATCACGCTTGGCTCCCAACTTCCCACGTGCTCTGGTTACAGAGCAGCCAGCCCTCACTGTACACTGTTATAAGTGTGTACTGAATGAGTCAGAGAAACTTAGATTCAGCCTAGTTGACAAAGGGATGTTGCCTATGGATGTTGGGATCATGGAATCGTAGACTCATAGAATGGTTAGGGTTGGAAAGGACCTTAAGATCATCTAGTTCCAACCCCCTGCCATGGGCAGGGACACCTTACACTAGACCATGTTGCCCAAGGCTCTGTCCAGCCTGGCCTTGAACACTGCCAGGGATAGAGCATTTACCACTTCATGGATTGATTCAGTCCCTGAAATATTAAAAAGAAATCTGAGGCAGCGTCAGCCTTAGTTGGATCCTGTTCACTAAAATAGTTGTATTTAGTGGTTACATGCATGAGTCTGTGGTTAAGGAGTTGTTACAGAGCTGTACTTGGTCATGTACATTACAATATTGAATCTGTACAGGACTATATTTAGCAAATTTATAGATTATAGCTGAACCTATTGCAAAACAAGAGGCTTTTATCAGGCGATAATTTCTTCACCTCAGAATAGATACTGCAAGACATAACTATCCCAGATGGCTGGGTGGGCAATTCCCACATTCCTAATTTACTGGGTCTTTAAAATTTCACTGCTGTCATACCCTTGAATGCACTTGTGGCTGGATAATATTTTGGTTTCTGTGGCTTTTGGAGGAATCTAACTTGGTTATTCTGCACAACATTCATATGCCTCCTCCCCCTCCTTATTGTACAAAATTTTTTGTCTTCAGATTCTTACATCTCAGAGTACATGACTCATGGCCCATTGCAGCTCAGTAAAATGTCACTGTTATGAATATAGTGCACAATGAGCCTGCCTTGCACATCTTTGGTGCAATATTTATTATTCAGATCTTGTTGGAGCCAATGGAAAGATTCCCATTAAGCTGCAAAGACATTTGGAGCAGGTCTGAGTTTGCCTTGGTGTGCCTGACTACTACTAAAAAAAAAAAAGCCCACACAGAAAAAGCAGCATATTTGTATACCCAGTAGCCATCTCTTTTATGACTTTAATGTATTCACCTGGTGACTAAATTGGAAGCTTAAGTGTACTCTGGTCACAAGACTACATACCTAGAGCCTCTGAAGAGCTCGCAGGTTTTCACATAGGCTAACAACCAGTTGCATTTAATTCTTCTTGAATGGGAAGTTTGCTGCAGATGCCCATTGCAATGTGACCCATGATGGTCTGCCTGCTAATCCTAACCTGTAAATTGTCAGGTGGCTCATGTCCATCCCTGGGAAGAGCTCTGTGCATTCCTACCACTTTCTCATGTAGAGGGCAAATCCCTCTCCTTGCCTTCTCAGCCTCTCCTTTCTAAAGATCCTCTTTTCTTTGTGAATTTCACTTTAACCCTCATTGATTGCATTTAATTTCTGATTTCTGTAATTTTGCTGCCTTGAGCTCTTTCGCCTGTTCCCATGTTTCTCCCTAGGCCCACTATTCCTTTTCCCCATATCCCTTGTCCTCATTCTTATGTATCTTCCTCTGTCCTCTCTTCCCCTGTCACCACTTTGGCTTTGATATCTCCACATCAGTAGCTGTTTGGGGCAGTGGAAGACCCAAACCTCAATGGATATGCTTTGATGACATTCCCTCCATCCCTCAGAGTTTTTACTTCTTCCTCTGTTGTCTTCCATGGCCCTCAAGGATTACCTTTTTGTAAGGTAATCCTCTTGAAACACAGCCTGTCTTCTTTCTTATAGTCTCAGAGCATTAAAATTGTGAAGACGCTGATGCTTTCTTAAGAAAAATCAGGATGTATCATACCACCCAGGATAACCTGTGATGCGCTAGTATGAATGGGATCTAAAGTAAAGGTATGCTCTGGCCTTGGTCTTCATGGAGTTCTGTTTCTTCATGATGTATTTATGCACCCAGCCTGACCACCATATATACAGTCAAAGAAACCACATGTGCAGTTTGTCTTTTGCAATGTGATAAAAATGTACCTTTTTTAAAGCCATCAATGTAATTTCCTATGACAGCACTGACCTGGGCCATTCTGTGTGGGCTCACTCATTTGGCAGAACTCCACAATAGCTGTGATATCCCAGTGGGTTTTTTGCTGGGTATCACAGTAAACCAGGAAATCACTGGCTCAGTTTCAAAGCAGGGGAAAGAAAAACAGCATAGCTTAAAATTATTTAGAAGGCAAATATGCAAATTGTTGGAGGAGTCACCATACACATTTAACCCACTCTTAACATCTTGCTTCTACTTTTAAAATAATAAACCTGAGTATTACTGTTCTTTATGTTATCGCTTTGGTTTGAGACTTAGTAATTTCTATTGCAGGAGGTGCAAAATCTCTTAAAATAGCATTTGCTGATAATAGATCATTACTACAGACCAAATAAATAGTTTAAAGCCATTATTCCTAGCTAACTGGTATTCTTTGCTAAGCCTTGAAATTATGGACTTGATTATTCTTTGAGGCTGATCTGAATTGAGACTACCTCTGCAGAAATTAATGGAGTAACAGAAAGATAAGAGCATGGAGAATAAGGCTGAACATCTCTGAAGGGAGGTGACATTTTTGGCTTAAAAGATTGTCTGGTTTTATAGTCATTTATGACTGATTCCCGGAAGACAAACGTTGTCTAAAATTAAATGCTTCAGATTTGCGAGCAACAATGAGTCATGGGTTGATGTAGAGAAAAGTGGCAAAACCAGCAATGACAGAAAGTGGATGTTAAGAATAATACAAAAGAAATCTGAGATCTTATAGCTGAATATTCGTAATTAATCTCACTTTGCTTTGGTTTTCTAAAAATATGTTATTTGAGTTTCTTTAGCTCTTTTTTAATGTCAGCAATCCCAAATAAGATGAATAATTTTTTATCCAAAATAGCAAAATATTCAAATTCAAATAAAGGAATCTATCATGCATGTGAAAATCAATCTTTTAAAAAAAAAAAAATCACTTTTTTTGAAGGTGTTCTTGTGTGTTTCTCAATTATAATGGAGTCTGATTTTAAATGACTTTATAGCTATTTTTGAAGAAGTATTAAAAATAGCTTCATGGAGTGCATCTGTTCTTCATTATTTCTCTCAAAGCTTTTAGTTTGGTCTTCGCAGTACTCTAAATAACCTCAACACATCCAGAGAGCTGGTTGGTTAGCCTGGTATTGGCACGTTAGGTGAATGATCGCAATCAAACTTTTCATGTGGAACTGTGGGATCATATCCCAAAGCATACTTTTTCCCCTAGGGATCATCATACAGATGGGGGGTATGATGGCAGCCATTTTTGCAAAGATTTCCTTCCCCGAGGTGGGAAGATGAAACAGATGAACAAAGGAATTTCTACATGAGTGCATCTTACTGCCCTGCAGTGAGGTTCCCGTTTACTTTTACGCCTGAAATATGTGGTTAATAAGATAACAGATAGTAACATCTGTGTGTTTAGTATTCAATATACTGAGAATATACTTCACAATATCAATACATGTGAAAAAGAATAAAGTTTTAAGACTGGAGTTAATACCAAAATGGGAAAATCACACTTCAACTTTTGATGACAAAGGAGAAAATAGACTCTGTTGTTAAATTCTGGTTTTTGATTCCAGACAAAATGCCGAGTGGTTTCATGGATGCTTTGTTACTTATTCATCACTGAATTATTCTGACCCTGTTTTTATGCTGGAGTACACAACTCCTGATCTTCATGTGTTAAACACTCTTCGGGAAAAAGTGTACCTTCTGTCCCTAGTAACAATAAAAAGCTTGATTTTCTAGATGTAACATAGAAAAAAAGGCAAAGAAACTACATCTAAAGAGGAAAACTTACTGTGTTTGATAAATCTGTGCCTGCACTTCTTTTGTGACTGCTGTATGCTGCACTGAGCAGTCCTAAAACTAGCACTATGACCAGCCCGAGTCAGGAGAATTCCTATTGAACAGAGCCAACACTAGGCACTTTGCCCTCTGCTTCTCCCTTCTGACCTTTTCCCTTCCTGATTAGTGATCACAGCTCAGTTTTGTGCAGAAAAGTGAGGGTAGCTTTCAAGCTGTCATACACATTCCTCTGATAACTTGAATTGTGATCATTTGAGTGGAGAATATGAAAAGCTGCCTGATAACATCCTCCTTTAGTCAGCAGAGAAGATGCCCATCTTTCCCACTTAAGTTAGGATAGGAAGTAGGGTTAGATCTTGAATGAGGGTCTTCCCTCTTTTCTTAGTTTAATATATTTACACTAGAGCCAGAAATGACTTTTACATGCTTAATATTTAAAACACAACAATGAAATAATAATTGGTAAAAGGCTGCTCTATTTATTATTACATCTTAATGAAGACATTTAGCAGTTCTCCACAGGACTGAAAATCAAAAGGAAATATTAATGTCTCCCAATGCCCTGGTGATAAGAATATGTAATTATATTTTACTTGGAAGCAAAGTGAAGGCTTCTTTTATCAAATCTCAAGACTTCTCACATTTAGGACACCTTTTGGGCCTCCCTCTGTGCAATAGGCAGCTGGACCGCACCTACCCAATAACCTGTACACCTAGAGCAATTACTTTAGCAGTGTATATGATGATGTTCAAGAATCTTAGCCCTTAGGAAAGGTGACTAAAAGGAAAAAGTATAATGTGATACATGGAATAAAGAATTCAATGCCATCAGCTGATTAAGTAGAAAAGTGTGGTTGATTTTCCAAGTCCAATGTAACAGATACTTGAAGACCTGCTTGTGGTGGTTCTCCCTCTTGCTTACATTTCCTGAACTCAAGACTGACTCCAATATAGACTAAAAACACCACCACAAAAGAAGCTGTAGGACACTTGGTGACTTGCAGTAATTATCTTCGTTTAACAGTGGTATGAGAGCTCAGCATCTGTAGGTGGGTCAGCTCCTTTTCTCCCTATTCTCCCTGACTGCTTTTTCTGTTGTCACTTCTTTGACAGGACTACTCTGAAGTTTTGGTTTGCTTTTTTTTAATTTATTTTTGTTTTGTGTTTGGTTTTGTTTGGTCTTGTAATTTTTCCCTTTGAGACTGCTATAGAAATTATGTTTCATGCTCCTTTGAGGCTGCACTGGGTAAAAGCAGTGTTGTTTAGAAAAAGTATCAAGAAGCTAGTTTTCAATATTTAAAATAATAAAATACTCTGGGGACTATTTCTTGCTCTGCCATGCTTGGGTAAAACTGCAAGTCCATAGGTGTACCCTATGGACAGAGTTAGGAATTTCAGAGAGTTGTTCAAGTTGAGTTTTCCTCTGGTGAATACAAGACTTGTCATTTAGATTTAGGCTCTTCATCAAATAAGTGACAGCAGTGCCTGGTCCTTCAAGGAAAGTTGTAAGAGCTTGGCAGATTTCTCCTTTATTGAGGCTTCTGATCTCTGTTTAGAGACTGGCCAAGTCTGTAAAGTAACAGATCTAATGTCCTTTCCAAGATCTTTATCAGTCTTATGCTGCCACTTGATACTTTAGTGGAATGCAAATTTGCAGTCTAACTATTGCACTGTCATGGTTTAAACCCAGCCGGCAACCCAGAGCCACGCAGCTGCTCACTCACTCGCTCCCCCTTCCTCCCCCTGCTACCAGAGGGAGGGGGAGGAGAATCGGAAGAATGTAACTCGCAAGGTTTGAGATAGGAGCAGCCCAGTAACTAAGGTATAACGCAAACCACTGCTGCTACCGCCAACAATAATAATGATAAGGGAAATAACAAGGGAAGAGGATACAACTGCTCACCACCCGCCAGCCGATGCCCAGCCTGACCCAAGCAGCAATCTAACCCTTCATTGTTATCTAACATTGGTGTTATCAGCACTGTTCCCTGGCTGAAAGTCAAAAACACAGCACTGAACCAGCTACTAAGAAGGAGAAAAATGACTGCTACTGCTGAACCCAGGACAGTATCCACCCCGTATTCCATACCATTCATGTCATGCTCAGATCCCACATTTTCAATATATCACCACTCTTGTGTATATATATATATGTATACATCCATACACACACAAAGAGAGAGATGCATGGACCAATCCCTATAAAGCTGCTGAGTTCATCTGGTCCATGATGTGGGGCTCCATCTCTTGTAACAGTCTTTCAGAGCAGGAGAGGCTGTGTGCAGTGTTGGATCGTTGCCTGCTGACGATACCGCAGACCTCGTCTAGTTTCATCAAAGTTCATTCTTTGTTGGGATGATGGTCGGAGGGGAGTCAGGGCCAGTCGCTGGTGACCTGAAGACATCTAGTTGATGGGCTATAAAAGTATTACACAGCAGGCAGCAGCATATAATTGACTTCATTAGCTTTTCCCCTAAAATCAAATCCTCTTGAGGTACACATCGGACTTCTCCATCTTCCCACATTACCCATCAAGTGTATCTGGGTCCCTGAGCAAAAGCAGTCCCACGAGTGGGTTTGCCTTTACCTGAAGCAGGAGTAACCCAGACTGTTTTCCCCAGCAAATTCTTCATGTGCACCACAGGAACTTTATCCCCCTCTACAATATGTAAAAGTTCTTGATGACCTGGGCCAGCCCTGTTGGCAGATCCTCTGGTGTTGACCAACCAGGTGGCCTTTGGTAAATGTGTTTCCCAATGTTTGAAAGTCCCACCACCCACTGCTCTCAGTGTAGTTTTTAACAGCCCATTGTACCGTTCGATTTTCCCAGAGGCTGGTGCATGGTAGGGGATGTGATATACCCACTCAATGCCATGCTTTTTTGCCCAAATATCTATAAGGTTGTTCTGGAAATGAGTCCCATTGTCTGAGTCGATTCTCTCTGGGGTGCCGTGTCACCACAAAATCTGTTTCTCAAGGCCCAGGATAGTGTTCCGGGCAGTGGCATGGGGCACAGCGTATGTTTCCAGCCACCCGGTGGTTGCTTCCACCATGGTAAGCACATGGTGCTTGCCTTGGCGGGTTGGTGGGAGTGTGATATAGTCAATCTGCCAGGCTTCCCTGTATTTGTACTTCAGCCATCGTCCTCCATACCAAAGAGGCTTTAACTGCTTAGCTTGCTTAATTGCAGCACGTTTCACACTCGTGAATAACCTGAGCAATAATGTCCATTGTTAAGTCCACCCCTCGATCATGAGGCCATATGTATGTTGCATCTCTGCCCTGATGGAGAGATGTGTCTCCAGGAAATGGAAGGCTCTGGCTTCCCCATGGCCAAACACACCAGGGTAATGTTCCTCCCTTCATTCACAACGTCACTCGAAATACGGTATATCTTTGGAGAAACTTGTACAGTTAAGTGCACCTGCTTTGTTTTAGGAGTGTGCTGAGTTTGCACAAAACAAGTGTAGGGACTGCCGTCTGTCACATTGACATCCTGTATCTGCAGGCTGTATTCTCTTCTGTTTGCTGTGGTGATTGAAACCCAAGGATCTACTGACCACTTGTTACTTCC